CAGTATGTGTTCTTTCCCCATCCCTGTGCTACCGTCCTTGCTAGGCTGTCACCATCTCTTACACGCTCAACTGACGTCGCTTCCTGACCTCTCTCCAACTTTGGCTGCTTATTGTGCATTTCTCCCATCACAACCTAAGAGATCCTTTAAAATGCAAATTAGACACACACACACACACACACACACACACACACACACACACACACACACACGTGCATGCGCGATAGGCTCTTCCTCCTCGCTCGCTCGTCTTTGTCTTCCTCTCTGACCACTCTTGTGTGTCTGTATTCTACTTAGTCCTGTACTCTGGAGTCTGGCCACATCAGTATATTCCTGCTTTCCGTTCCTTTTTGTGGTGTCTGTCTGATGCCCACATTTACGCTGTCTTAAGATCTTTGTTCTTCTGTACCCCGGGGCTTCAGCATTCTCCCAGTCTGCTTTGGCCAGTTCATTTCTGTCCTTCAGGTTGCAGTTCAGATGTTGGCTTTTCAAAGAAATTGCCCCACTTCTGTATTTTTTATTTTATTTACAGCATTTACCACTACAGGGATTGCCTTAATTTTTCTGCTTCAAACTGGATGGTGGTGGTGCACTCCCAGCACTTGGGAGGCAGAGGCAGGCGGATCTCTGTGAGTCAGAGGGCAGCCTGGTCTACAGAGTGAGTTACAGGACACCCAGGGGTACACAGAGAAACCCTGTCTCGGGGAAAAATTCTGCATATGTTGACAGTTTTTGAGAATGGTATAATAGGAACTCTGTGACTGATGGTTGAATGAACTTGGGGACATATCTGTACTCCTCTTTAGGCCTTCTTTCTCAGAAGACTAATATCTCGCAGCTTCCTGTAGGACAGTTTTAATTCTGTTCACTAATCCTTGGTGTTAGGGTCAGTGAACACCCTCATTCTATTTTAGACCTATGGAATTTTGGAGAGGTGGGTTCCCAGAATCTGTATTCTCCCCTAATCCACTTTTTTTTTTTTTCTCCTTTGGTTTTTCAAGACAAGAGTTTCTCTGGAGTTTTGAAGCCCATCCTGGAACTTACTCTGTAGACCAGGCTGGCCTTGAACTCACAGATCCATCTGTCTCTGCCTCCCCAGTGTTGGGATTAAAGGTGTGCACCACCATAGTCTGGCCTCAATTCACTTTTTAAAAAAAAAAAAAAAAAGGCCGGGCGGTGGTGGCGCACGCCTTTAATCCCAGCACTCGGGAGGCAGAGCCAGGCGGATCTCTGTGAGTT